ACCCCCCCTTGCGCAATACACCCAAGAACGACATAATCTTCGACAAGACGAAGGAGGTCGTTTAAGGAAAGAAGAAGAAGATTGGGAACTTAGTACTCACCTTTTGTTCATTGAGGTTCAAGGCTTTGTTGTAGAGCTGCCTGGTGTAGGAGGAGTTCCAGTCCACCGGCAACACGTTGGCAAAGTTGTCCGTCAGACCCTGCCACAATCTGGAGGAGGGACAACAGGGTTAGAGACACTTCTATTATAATAAGGCCATGTTGATTTGATTATATGGATGACATCCTCCGGGAACCCCAAAACTGATGCGCGCGTGCAAATAAAAAAAAAGTTTTGCAAAAAAAAAAAGTTGTTTTCATTATGAAATCTACGTGGTCATGAAGGTTGAACAAATGGCACAGAATATGGTTTGGCGAATAATCTACTCTTTGAATTCATTTCTTTACAATTTCGTGTTTTTTCGTTTCATTTTGGCATTTTACGACATTGGTATGTTTTTTTTTTTAACTTACGGTATATTTTTGCTCATTTTGCAACTGTTTTGTACGATTTACAGTATGGTTGAAAACTGTTTTTTTTTGGAAACAGCCGAAAATTCATGCGCGCGCGGATGTCATCCATATAATCAAATCAACATGGCCTAATAATAAATGGTTTTTATTGTCCAAACAGTACCCGTGCAGTTGCAGTCTTTATACGGCTGAATTGATGCAGGGTATCACATAATAATCAATACAGATCACAACAATCAAATAATAATACACACATGATACACCTATTTGTTCCACAGATTTTTGTGCAACTGTCGCAAGGGTCTGTGTGGCTGCCATTCGGCGCCACAAGGTGACCTCAATACGACTTTCCCCAACCTAAGTTAGGTACCCATTCACACCTGGGTGAAGTGAGGGAATTCATGTAAAGTGCCTTTCCCAAGGACACAACGACGGGGCGCATGTCCAGACATGTCCCGGGTACGACCCAGAGTCGAACCCGGGTCTTCCCGCTTCATAGTCGATTGCTCTAACCACTACACCACCCGACGCCACTCTATTCTGACTGATAGCCCAGATTCAACTGAGTTTGTTCAGGAACTCTTGAATAGGATTGGCTGTTTGAACACCGAACTGCCAGCCCCTTTTGTTTCTAAAATTCTACTTCTAAAATTCTACGACAAACTTTCATAACTTTTTTATAACTTTCATAAAACTTTTCAAATACATAACAACAGCATGATTCTCCATTGACCATAGCTCAGTCACAGCTATAAAAACCCTTTCAGGCACTCATACAAAAGCCCACTCTCAGAACTGTTAGCATGAGCAGGGTTTGAGTCCAGGAGCTCCAAAGGCAGTCTTTCCAGGGCCCCTACTTGGACCCTGCTGACGCACCCTTCTAAAGGATGAAGACATCCTCACATTTCCTGATTATCGGCTCTCTATTTCTTCAGTTCTACTGTAACAGTTTCCATTCTTTCATTTCACCAGTAACTACACTCGGGTTAAATAAAAACCTGTTTTTCAGGCAGTGCTGGGCATACTTACAAAACAGACTGTACAGTGTTACAAGAAACAAAACACGATCCAAAATGACATTCAACAAAAGAACGCACACAGTTTCAACTCTCTATATCATCATGGCATCACAATTCCTGACCGAATTTTACCAAACCCAAAGTCTGACGTTGTTTCAGTGACAGTGATACATGCCGGCACTCTTCAAGACTTCAGTACTGTTCTCCATTCTTAAATACATCTCATAAAATTGAGATGACAACTGGCAACATAGACGTACCTTTGATAGAGTTTAAACAATCTTTCTTGACAAGTCAGTATCTACAAGACCCACAGCTGTCAGAACAAAACATTTCAACTGACTGCATTTCTCCCTGATTAGTGCTGTCCCAACCCAGATAAAATCTCTGTCAGCTATAGTACCAGAGTACATGTCAAGACAGATACGTCAGAAATGACTAAGAGTGTACAAAAAGTGTTCTTGTGCCAGGAATCATTAGCATCAGCGTGCTGAGGCCATTTTCTCCATTAGTCTCAGATGTAAAAGTACATCTTGTTTTGAAGCAGCTGACCAAAAAGTGTGTTTTCAATTGAGACCCATACTGATAGAGACAATGAGAGTACATTGACTAGACAGGATGATTTTAGACTGGATGATTTCAAGATCCCCATACATTAACCTGCAAGACCTGTATATGCTTTGTTGTTTTCTGTTTTAAATGGGTGTCCCATGGCAGATCAATTTAGGACAATTTACTGCATATATCAATATATCAATGCCTTGATAATCACCATAGTGATGTAACAGTATTAAAGCATAAGCTCTTCTTTTACCCAATTCTGATGCAAAAGGCTAACGCAAAAACTACAGTTTGGGTTTTTACACACCTAGCTACAATAAACATTTCAAGTACTTAACACATTACTCAGTAACTGCATTAACTGATGCATGAGTTAGTTCTTTGGAAGTTATACATATACTGGACTTGAATGAACACATCTTAGTTCTGCCGAAACCACTGACTTTCACCACAAATACTCCAGAAGTGTTCGTATGACCAGACCACATGGTAAAATGGGGGTGCAATTTTCTGACAGCCAGCTAACATGTCTGTCTACTGGAGGACCAGGGGCCACTATGGGCAATCATGGGTTCACTCCATGCCCGTATCCAGGGTCGTTCGGGGGGTTCGGACAAACCCCCCCACAAGGCTCAAAGGTCCACTTTTTATCTAAAGGTCCAAGATTTTTCTTAAAAAGATCACCAGCGGAGCTGGTATCGTAGAAAAACTGCTCACTTTGTCGTTGAATAAAAAGTTATCTCTGATTTTTTTCTTTGAAATCCTCTAAAAAATGCAGGAAATGCCATTTCAGAAGGTTCATTTTTCAAAATTTTATGGGGGAGCATGCCCCCGGACCCCCCTAGGAACCTCGCTGGTCCTTCAAGCAGTGGGAAGACCCCCCCCCCCATTCAAAATCCTGGCTACAGGCATGCCCTCTATGGTTAGTTGGCACCTTGTACTGTACCTCAAAGAGTACATGATGTGAAAGTGTACACTGGCTTCAGTACAGCATTGTATAAGCTAGACCTGATGTAGAAATGTTAGAAGTATGTTTGTGTATCTAACACTATCAGCTTCAAGTCTTCACCCTCAGGAGAACATGCCAATACAGATTATCAGTATGTAATCACTTCCATATGACTATAAATTTTTTATTACATGAGGTCTTTGCACTTTGTTACCTTTCCTCTTAGTACCAACAGACTCCGTTTGTCCGTGACGAAAAGTAGTATTTGTGATGCAGTAGTTTCTATCAGTGATGCAGTAGTTTCTATCAGTGATGCAGTAGTTTCTATCAGTGATGCAGTAGTGTCTATCAGTGATGCAGTAGTTTCTATCAGTGATGCAGTAGTTTCTATCAGTGATGCAGATCATGCAGTAGTTTATAATGTTAAGTTCGATACAACTTGGCAAGTGTCAGTTACAGCGCCTGTTTTCCGAGTTGCACTGGTGCTGCTACAAAAGAGCCACCGACCGGCGGAATAAAGAATGATTTTACTACTGCATTATTCATGCTGTCACCCAGAACGGGTTGATGGGATTTGATTTGTTTTGCAATAGCAGATATTGATCTGCTGCTTCCCAAACAGAAAAACGGATGCGGCATCAATCTGACAAATGGGAAATCCATATGCAGAATCCCTCATTAGAGTCACTCACTTCTAATAAAAGATACCTTTGGCAGATGCAATGCGTAACTCTCCTTAAAGTAAAGTCCTATTTGTACTTTTTATGTTCCATACATTTTACTCCATAGTTCTTAACTCCTCAATTGTTTATCAGGAAAAATGCAGAAATATATATATGATGGAACAGCTATAGGGACTGAAATAATACTTTGGGTGGGCCAACAAGAGATAGCATGATGTTACTTACAAAGAGTAGAAATCAGCCAAAATAGAGAGATAGCATGCCAGGGGAGTTGGTCTGCTGGAGAGAACAGTTTGCCGCTCCCACTCTCTGTTTGGCCAATTTCTAATCTTTCCAGCCGCCTCCCGAGGCCTGGTAGAGGCTAGGGCAACCCTAGATTCACAACTCCAAAGTCTTTGCAGGCAGTCTCATCTGAAGATGCTAAATCCAGACCTTAGTACCCTTCATTGATGAGGAGAAGAGTTAAACTATAAGGAACCCATTTTAGCAATAAGTCGATCAAGCAGAAGGCAGAACTTCCATTTGTGCAGCCTTCAGGAACCTCGCAGGATTGATCTTGTCCAAGCTGATTAAATTTGCTTTACATTAGGATAACCACAAAGAACTATACTTAAAGTACATGGTATACATTAGCAAAATACAGATTCTGAAATAAAAAAGATACAAGTTCATGTAACAACTGTCCTGTACTGAGAAATGTGGTACAGGAATCTTTTCCTCTCTGCATTTGTTTTCAGTTTTGGCAGTTTGATGTGACAATACTGTGTGATTTTGTAAACGCATTACATGTTAAGGACCATGGGAGGAGTAGCTGACAGAAATTTGAAGCTAATTGTGGATCCAAATAAAGTTAAAGTCAAAGACATTGTTTACAACCCAGGTAGAGAATACAACTTTTGAAAACAGATTGAGCGCTCATCATAGTGGGTATCGCAGGGCTCGAAATTCATTTTTGGGAATAGGTGCACTGGTGCACCCGACCTGGAAAATTAGGTGCACAAAAATTTTTTTGGGTGCACCATTATTGAAACAAAACCTGATTGCAGGTCTTACTGCTCCTCTTCTGAGCTTGAATATGAAACGAAAGCTAACTTCAAAAACTGAATCATTACCACAACAAAATGTTTTATTATTTTTCTGATACTAGAGACCAAGAATATCCGGTATACTATTATACACAATCTAATGTTAAAAATTCCTACAAAAATATTTGGGTGCACCAGTGCACCCACAGAAAAAAATTAGGTGCACAGCTCCAATTTTGGGGCGCACTAAGGTGCACATGCTCCCAGTATTTCGAGCCCTGGTATTGTGACTGTAAGATGTTATAAATGTTGACTGTGTGGTCCTGAAAGCTAATAGAGAGAAATTTAAAAGACCAATCATGCAGATATTCTGCTGTTTCTTATCTCTTGCGATTTTACGTCAGGGATGTACATGTGTGTATCAGAACATGCAATCTCTGACTACCTCATCTCTGATCCAACCAACTTACATGCAGCATTACTATGCTCCGCTGCACATTTAGTCTGTAATTCCTGATTTTTTCACAGTACTGTTATGTCCACTGTTTTCACTGTCACTTCTGTACCGTGAACTTATCATTACAGTTAACAAATGATTCCTGGACCTTTTTTTCCTGCACCTGTCGCCACCATGAATATATATAGTTTCGTGAACATGTCCATTTTTCTCAGACAGTGAACTTTTGCTACCGTGAACATAAAGTAAATTACAGTACTATGCTCCACTGCACGTTTAGTTAGTTACTATGCTCCGCTGCACGCTTAGGTCTATAATCTGACTTGAAATCAAAGCCTGCCCATCTGCAAACTAAGTCATATTCAGTCAGCCCCAGGAGCGCACTTGGCTGGGAACTCATCCACTGCAGTAAGCTGAGAGACTTTCTGCAGCAACATTGTCAGAATAATCAATGGACCACATGTAGGTAGGATGGGCTCTGCAAGAACTGTCTTGTACCGCCATTCTTTCGCCATGACACCATGCCCTTGTGTCAATATGGCTACTATATAGTTTTCACATAATAGGAGCACTAAATTAACTGTCACTCAGAATAAGCAATGGACAACATGTAGGTTGGTTGGGCTCTGCAAAAACTCCACTAGTTCTGTATTCTTTGGCTATGACACCTTGCCCTTCTGACAATATAGCTTCTTAACTTTTCGCATTAAAAAAATATGGTAGCTGCTTCACCTCTTGTTAAGTTAAATACTAGTAAAGAAATTGAACCTATATTCTTTAAATACATTAAAGGCCCATCATACAACACAATTTTGGTAACTGTCAGTCGATCTATCATCTTGACAATTGACTTCTCTTCTAGCTAATTCTAAATGCTGTTTCTGCAATTCTATTTGAGTGACACAATACATGTACAGCTAGCTTTGTTACTGAAGTAACACATTCAACAGAACAGCTACATGTAGCAAACATGTGCAACTTGCAAACTCATTATATAACTAGCTTTTCATGTTTCTTTACATAAAAATACAATGATAGACTGCACTATTGTGTTATATGTGTGCGCGTTTCATGTCTTTATTTCTTTTACCGCATGATCACGAGAACTCTAAAACCAGATATACTTAAAGTGGCCAATCTAGAAATGATGGTGTCTATGCAAATTTCGCGACGTACAAAAGTATAACATAAACATTATCCTTATCATCCGTATCATTTCAAAAAGTCTGAGAATCAACCAATCGCATACTCATGGCCCAAGAAACAAAAATCTGAAGATGACTTACACGTTATGGACGCCAAAGGAGCTCATCCTGGCAGGCGTGAGGTGTGCAGAAAAAAGGCCGTTGATAATGGAGAAAATGCAGTGATGGGGGAGGGGGGCGTGGGTACATGACATATATCTCACTAACATTAGTCAGTATTGATTAGGCCACACCGATTTAATTTTATGGATGACATCCTTTGAAGACCCCAAAACTAGTGCGCACGGGCGAATAAAAAAAATTCCGGCCAAAAATAAAAATGCTACTAAACCACATGAATACAAATCAGGTATTGTGAATTCGCGGAAATACATATCGACGTATACGACAAGCCGGTACATATGCTGGCTTTTTGCGGAATGAATCAGCATTGTACGTATATACTGAGTCCTTGAGTCGTGGATCTTCAGTAGTTTGGGTGCGATCCTCCTTAGTTACCAACGGCTCCGTATTGTCGCTAACTACCATGGACTACCCAGTCCTAGAGCCAGACCAGAGCCTCGGAGAACGTGATCTTTTTTTTTTTTTTTGAGAACAGGCGAAATTAATGCACGCGCGGATGTCATCCATAAAATTAAGGCGGTGTGGCCTTACTATAAGAAAAACCATCTGAGTCAATCTTATCTTGAAAGTTCATCTGTGTTGGTATCAGTCAATATGAACAAGACTGAACTGTGATTTCCAACACAACAAAAATTGGACTCACCCAAATTTTCGACTGTACAACTCCAGTCAAGGAATGAGCAACGTCACAGAAGCGGTGGATTGCTCATTCCTTGACAAAGACTGGAGTTGTGCAGTCGAAAATTTGGGTGAGTCCAATTTTTGTTGTATTGGAAATGGCATATAGATTATGCCTTTCTTACTATGTCTTTTTTGCTAAATATAATTATACAAAATATTTGATTCCATATTAATAATTCACAAACAAGATGAACATTTCAGCATATATACTACTAGCATGTGACTTATAATTGTATGACTTACTGTATATATCACATATCCATATTTTACGTCACTGGCATGCATAAAAGTTATCTACCATATACAACATCAAAGTGTAAGTGATACCATTGACATTACCATTATATATTTCACCAGGTACTGGTAAGGCACTATTATTAAACATCAGAAATAACATGATAACTTTACTGGGACACAGCTGGCACATTAGGGTTGCTCTTACATCTAAGATAAATATGTCTTTACCGCACATATCAATAACAATATTGATTATAATATAAGGTGGCAGCACTTTTTTTAACAGTGAAGCCAAGAACAAAATCAAAACTTAATAGACAGTGGACAAAATGCTTGAATCAGAAAACATTTCTCAGTATTGTGCAGTCCCTGGAAACAATGACATACGGCTAAGAGTAAGAGCAAAATAATGAAAACTTTTACTAGACAAAACTCTTGAACCAGTTAATAGCAAACATTTCTCAGTATATTGTGCAGTCCCTGGAAACAATGATATATTTTAAAAAATAAATCAAGGGTCCATTGTACAAGACACTTTGGTTTACTGTCATCAGTTATGATCTGTAATATTTTACGTGCTGTTTCTAAGATGCTACTTCAGTGATACAATACAGCTATCTTTGTTACTGAAGTAACACATTCAACAGAACAGATACATGTATGCAAAAATGTAGAACTTGCAAACTCATTATATAACTAGCTTTTCATGTTTCTTTACATAAAAATACAATGATACACTGCACTATTGTATTATACAGTACCGTTCGCGTTATAGTTAACCGGGTACCCCGTTAGTAACGAGTTAGATTTTCGTCAGAAAATGGTTAGAAAATCGTCAGTATTTGGTTAGATTTTCGTCAGAAAATGGTTAGAAAATCGTCAGAAATTATTTCTAACGCGTTACCGTTTGCGTTAATGTGATAGGGTCGGATTTCATGTTTGTTTTGCGCGCCGACAAGACAATAGCAATTTGCCACCTCCTGGGGCGTCCGCTAATGTGTTGCGATGTTTCCCCTTGAAAAATAACAGCACCAGAGGCAAGTGGACATGTGACTCGTAAAATAACTTTGTGGTTTATCCATGTGTCGACTGTGTGAAGCGAATTGTGCTATCTTTTAATGCTATTCTATAGTTATTTCTAGCGGAAAATTACGTTGTGTAATACAATGTATGTCAACAAAGTGTAGCAGTGGGCAGACGAGTCACGACGTCTTGTACATTTTGTACCAGCGGCGGCCTACCGCTCTCACAGGACGTCATGGGACGTGAGGAAACAAGAAATATCTGCCGTAGAAGAAATATAAATCGGTAACTCATGCCTTAAATTCACGGCGGTTTTTGACACAAAAGAAAAATTATTATAATTTTTGTAAGGCTTACTAGTAGTTGCGGCTTACTCACGGTAATGTACCGTCACTCCCGGCGCAAGGACTCGGTTCGCCAGCTGAGGACTTTCCACAACCATGATGATATCATACTTAATAAAGGAATGTATAATAGATCTATCATGTTGAAATGATAATTGTAATACATGGTTCTATTTAATAGCGGCAGTTTTGTTTCTTATTTTGACGGGGGAAACACGGGGGAAACTGTCAAAAATCGAGGGAACGCAAACTGAGATCGGCTCACTTCCGGGTGCATAACGCTGCCTTTTTTCGAGTGTTATTGGAATTATTCGCGATGTTTTTGCACATCCCTAACGTTACCTCACGCCGGGCCCGCCGCCTATTATGTACGGCGGACCGGGGTATTTATAACTTCAGATCATCTAGGATTGCATATATTCGGTGGTAAAATAAGTAAACAAACAGAGAAAAACAGCAAAATAAAGTTGACAAACTATAGAAACGCTTGCATGGGCAACACTGACAAAAGAAAATGTCGATCTAATTGATGCGCCGGTTTTTAAACGTTACTGTTATATAGTAAAATGCGGGCTAGATCAACGTTCCTTCCGCTGTTCCAGCGGTGTGTATCGGTAATTTCCCGCCCTGCATGAGGTAAATTAGTACTCCTCCCACGATTCCTGTGATGTTACCGCGCCTGCATATGAATGGAGAAGTCTGACGAAAAAGAAACGCGTTACTTTCGGAAAAGTAACGGAAAACTTTCGGAAAAGTAACCAGTTAATAACGGAAAACTAACGGGAAAAAAACGCGTTAGTAACGGCCGTTAGGGTAACTATAACGCGAACGGTACTGTATGTGTGTGCGTTTCATGTCAAAGCTAAGGTCAAAATAATCAAAGTTTTTACTGGACACAATGCTCGAATCAGTTAATAGCAAAAAGTTCCCAGTATTTGCGCTGTCCCTGGTGCTGAAACATCTGTGAGTGTTGCACACCCTGACTATTCCCCTGGTTCAGTTGTTCAGGAGGAATGTCTGACTGGTTATCCTTCAGGACTTTAATATCCAGCCTGCACAGATGACTCTATGAGGCGTAATCCTAACCCGGGGGTACTGTTCACTAACCTGTAAACGACTGCCATCTGTCTCAGGCCCCAGGTGGTCATGTTATACTGTTTCCCTTTCATATAAAAGTACTTGCAGGTTCATGGAGGGTTCTTTATTCACGGGTTAATCAGCTGGTGTGTTACGACGAAAGGCAGTTATACCGGTTATATAGATACAGATTTTATTTTTATTTTATTTTCCGTCATCTTTATAGAGGGTGGCCCATTAATTGATTACACTTCTTTTCAATGGGGCCCTGTTTTACAAACAAAACATAACAGTCACATACAAACAGTAACATAGGGATACAATACATAATGATAATGGCAATAATAATAACGGAAAAACAGTAAGTAACCAATAACGTTAATAAATAATAACAAAAAGTAGAAATTGTCTACAGATACAGATAACAGAGGCTGATAGACTCTTCAAACTCAACTACTGGATAAAATACTTCTGAACATTTCGAGTGACATCCGTCACTTTTCTTCAACATTGAGGAGATAAGAGTGACGACTACTGGAAGTAGTCTCCATAATTTATCCAATTATAGTAGAGTTTGACTTGCACACAGCCTATAAGTAAGTTGTTAACCAAGAAGTCTAACCTTCATCAAAGTATCAAAGCAGAAAGTTTTAGTTATCCATGACTGAATTTAATCTGCTTAGAACATGAACAAGACATGTCAGTCAGCTGATATAGAAAAGCTGCAAAATACGTCAAGTTGATGATATATGTACTGTGCAAAAGAAGTTTAGTGATTCCCACATCATATGACATCTATTTCATACCCACCATGTCTGACTTAATTTTGTAGTGAGCTGAACATTCCCTAGAGACATTTTATGAATAATACATGACATCATCTGTCCAGAGCCTGGCAACTCTGCAACTGACTGATGTACATGCACATAACCTACTGACAACTCTTCCATACATGCAACACCAACCTGCACACATTCAAGGTTGAAAATTTGACAGGCACTACATGGTTTTGTCAACCACTCTGGTTTTATCACTTAATCTGGTAAAATATGAGTTATGCTACATTGGTAAGCAGAATATAATATTGTGTCAAACTGTTCTCTGGAAGATATAACTTACCATTAGCACTGTCTACATTATCTTGGAAGTTCAGCCAAAATGCTACTAAACGTCACATTCAATCAAACATTCAACATCTCAATTGATTTGGGTGAAGAAAAACTATTTGTTATTTTTGTCTCCATTCTAACAATCTAATTAGCTGGGCTTAATGAGTTTTTAATGAGAATTAGACACCTACACAACCAGATTAGTAAAGCCTCATGTCTGGTTCATCTGACCTCACAAGGCAGTACTAAGGCCACGTCAGTTGATTAGTACTATTAGGGCCCAGACAAACAAAAATACAAAGAGAAGATGACAAATGTTTTAAAAAATGTACAATATATTGCATATTTTAGTATCATGATCTTAAAATGTAACTATGAATTGATTCTGTTACTCACTGACAAAAAGTAGTGGGTGCTGCTTGAAACATCTGACAGTTTTCAAAATCTATCGACTTGATTGAATAACAATTTCCTTGTGTACCTCTTTACCTGGATCTTAACCTTTATCAATGTA